GAGATGGGCAACACGATTTTATTTTGTTTGATGGCCGAGCAAGCGATGTCTCAGGAAGAGACTTGCGACTTGCTTCATGCAGCTCCTTTCCAGAACATTATTCCTCGGCCGCATATCAAAGGTAGATTATCGCTTGCTATCATTCCTAGAAACTATTCGTTATCTTATATTGATCGATATATTTAGTGTATTTTACTTTTCAACAGAGGGTGAGCGGCAGGAAGTTAAGCAAAAGAAATTGGAGGCCAAATATGCAGCTTTGCAGATCGTACCGAACATTGAGAAATTGGGAAGTTCAGAGGTTCGTCGAGTACCGTTTTCTATGTTGTGTTCACTTACGGAGGATTCCTGGAGCTTTTTCGGTTGTTCAAAGGAAATTATTAACTTACGTGGTCTTCCATCATTTTCTTTCAGCAATCGTTCATCGCAAAAGAAGGTGATTTGTTGACACGTGAACGACTCTGCTGTGGACTTTCGATATTTGATATGATTTTGACGAGAATTCGCGGTTTCTTGGACGACCCTATATGGAAGGGTCCCGCGCCGCAAAACGGAGTCATGCATGTTGACGAGTGTCTGGAATTTCATCGTCTGTGGTCTGCGCTTCAGTTCGTTTACTGCATTCCCGTGGGACAGAATGAATTCACAGTGGAGTAAGTTCTGACGCATTTCTCACAACTTTAACTCTCTACATTAACAGAAGCTCAGAAACCTGATGGCGGTGGAACCTCCACTCCTGATTCTCACATGAATCTCTGGAATCATTCTGTAGTCTCAATCATCAGTACTGTACTGTACTCGTTCGAAAAATTAACCGTTGAAGTACGAAAAGGTTGATCTTGAGCGATTATTCAGAAACTGTCTTGCATGCTTAAAAACTCCGCATGTTGTGGTGACTTGTTTCAATTTAGAAGCATGAACAGGAATGTGTTCAAATTTTCGTTCGTTTCAATTCTTTGAAAGGCAAATGTTTGGCGAAGGTCTTCATTGGGCTGGCTGCACGATGATTGTTCTGTTGGATCAGACGAGGAAGTTCGAGGCTCTCGACTACTGCTATCACATTCTGAGAGTCCAGAAAGTTGATAATAAGGATGGTGTCCATAAGGGAATCGTGAGTAGACTTTTTTTTTGGCATCTTATGACTTCTATCTGAATTACGTTTTTGCGTTTGTAGTAGACAGCATTTTTAACACGTTTTTATTAACTTGCTTTCTTGTCCGTTTGTTTGTCCGGATCAAATTTTG